GATGTTTTTTTATTTAATTGTTGTTTTCTGTAAACATGCAATACAGATGAATGTTTTTGACTTCTGTTGCATTTCGTTTTAAGTCTGTCTGACATTTGAAGACTTGAAATGTCAAAGACATTTTTATTCAATTCATTCAGATGATTCAAATGCTTAAACAACAATCTTTGGGAGGTTTCTTTTAATATTTCAGTACAATTAAAAATTTACGTTAATCATTACCATTTATCATTAAATTTACTTTACTTTATATTAATATATTTCTGATTTTTGATTTTATTTGATATTAACAATATTAATAATACATTTTAACTGATAATTTTCTACTATTTTTATATTGCATATTATATTATTAAATATGGTTTTTGAGAGGTTGTTTCTTTTTTTTAATACTTAAGTACAGTTTAAATTAGATTTTTTTTTACTTTCTCTTATGTTTTTTAGTTTTTTTATTGTTTAATTTTAATTATTATTAATTGTGTATTAGTTTATTTTTATATTGTTTATTATTTATGTTATTAAATAATAATTTTAAGAGGTTACTTTTTAAATACTTAACTACAGTTTTTAAGTTGTACCTTTTTACTTTCACCATTTTTGGCCAGATATTTGCAATTTTAATCAAGTAAATTTATATATGAATATATTTCATATTATTTTTAATATTAATTATTATTAAAATTAATAAATTTTAATTAATAATTTAATTTTATATTGTGTGTATTTTTTTTATATTATTAAATATGAATTTTGACTGGTTACGTTTATTTTTTTAATGCTGAAGTACAATTTTAAATCGTACTTTTTTGTTTTTCTTTCACTCAAGTATGTTTTTGGCCAGATAATTGCATTTTAAATTGAGTAAAATCATCACTGACTATCAGTACTTTCACAGAGAGTAGAGCACAGTGCCAGCAACGCCGAGGTCAGGGGTTCGATTCCCAGTTAAATGCATGAATGCAGTGGATGAAGATGAATGTGTGTAAGATGGCGCTGGTGTTTGTCTTGCTGTCATCTGGTTTGTGACTCAAGGTGCTCGTCATCCGTCTGCAGTGGAAGTGGTTTGATGTTTGTGAAGCTCTATTTTAAGTGTTTTTTTTCTATTGTGATGTGATTCTTCAGCAGGAGCGCTGCATCGCGTTTCTGCAGGTCATTTTCCAACCGCAGATGCTGCTTTGGCACTGACGGGTTTAAAGTTAGTAGTTCACCTCAAACCTCATTATTTACTCGCTCACATTTTGGTCAGTCGTAGGTTTAAAAGTAGCAGAGATGTAGGGAATGTGATCTTCATGCAGTAAATGACAGACATCAGGCCTCGTCGCTCAAATGACACAGTTTCTCTGTGTTCTCACTTCATTCTGCGTGAGACGGGTGTTAGAGACAGACAGCAGCTGTATGAAATAATCCAGACAGACTGCTCTATATGAGGACAGACAGGTGTGCGCTCACCGCTCATCTCTGTCCTTTATTAGATGATGATTTGATGGAATCAGCCGGACGTTCTTCATGATTTCATGGTGAGCGTGAGACTGATGGTGTTTTTCTGCTGTTGGCTTGAGATGGCAGTGCTGTTATGAAAGTTCAAACTGTTCGTCTGTTGATCTCTGTGGTCGACAAACAATCTGGAGTTTTGCAAAGCAGAAAATGGAAAGAGAGTTTGATGCTTGCAAAATAAGAGCAACATGCAGATGCATGTGTGGTTTCACATGTGTTTAACATGGGACATGTGCTTCACTTCATTTGATTTTTCTAGATAGATGCACCTTTATATGGTTGATTTGTTATTAAGTGATTCAAGTGAGGATTAATGGAGAAAATTATAGATTTTATAAATAAACAGCTAACATTGGCAATACTAGTATTGACACAGTATGATTTAATTGACACATGTTCATCCTCATGTTCCTGTCTCTCCCTCCATGATGTATTTAGAAACCTCACGCTAGGATATATCTATAAGATATTATCTATATCTATGTCTATATAAATCCTGTGCACCACTTGAACTTGCAGTCATCAGACCTTTAAAAAAGAAATCCACAAATATATAACAATGCGAACATTTTTAACTTCTGCTGTTCCACAACCCCACCGCTGAGCGACACACCTGGAGACGCTTCCATTCATCCTAATCTTAGGTGTTACAAATCTTTTAGAAAAGTTTTAAATGATCTTTTAAAAGCCACTGATTCTGCTGTGTTGGTACTTTTAGATTTAAAGTGCCCCTATTATGGGTAATTAAAGGTTCATATTTTGGTTTTGGGAATCCCCAACAACAGGTTGACATGCATGCAAGGTCAAAAAACACCTTCATTGTCTTATAATATGCATTTATTTTTTATCTTGCTTGCTCAACGACTCCCAAACGATTTGCTCAACGATTAATTTTTCCAAACCCCTCCTTTGCGTGACACTAATCTGCGGTGATTGGTCTCATTTTCATTTCATCTCACCTGTGATGCCTGATAAAGCAGCGTTTGTGAGCGCAGTGCTGCCTTGTGTACAGCCGTTACCGGGAAAACAGCTATTTTTACCGCTCCAAAAGCGGCACCTAGTGGCAAAGAATGAATTTTAATTTTCATTCAGACCAACCTGAAAAGACCAACAAGTGGGCGGGCAATATGCTAATGTTTCATGCTGACGTCAACATGAAACGGCTTGGGATTCGTTTTAAAAACAACTCATTTCAATGATTCAGAGTCGACTCTTTCTTGTTGATGTCAACATGAAACGGCTTGGGATTCGTTTTAAAAACGACTCGTTTCAATGATTCAGGGTCGACTCTTTCTTTCGAGAGACAATAACTTTATACACGGTGCACTTTCAGATTTGAAACTTTGCAGGATGTTTTCATTCACTTAGAGCTGTGTTACACACTGCATGAAAGGTCATTTTCAAAAATCCATAATAGGGGCACTTTAAGTGCTGCATTCGACACAGTTGACCATCATGTTCTTCTTTCTCGGTTAGAGCAGGTTGTGGGCATTAGAGGAACTGCTCTAAGTTGCTTTCAGTTGTATCTTAAAGGGGTCATGACATGTTTTTTAAATTATTTTATTATGTTCCCTGAGGTGTAATTATAATAAGTTTTTTGGACGAAGAACATACAAAATTTAGTGATTTATGACCTTTTTCCACCCTGTTTCTCATCCTCTGACTGAAACAGTTGGTTTTGGGCTGTTTTCCCTTTAAGAGGTCAGTGTAACCGCCCACTTTTATGATTGGCTAACATCATTGCCTATGCATTACCATTTTAAAAATAGTTTTTACAAGAAATACGTTACTTACAGTTTGCGGCGTCGTTGTTGGGTCCAGAACAGTTGGCACAGCCTGATCTTTGAGCAAAAGTATTTTAGCAAAGCCAGCATCATGATGTAGTAAGCATACAAAGACCTCTTCTGTGTCAAAAGATCAAGGGAAATTTGGTTTCTCATGTCATGACCCCCTTAAAACAGAAGTTTCTGGGTCATTGTAGGAGAATAACACTCAGGCGTTGTTCTCCTGACTTGTGGTGTCCCACAGGGCTCTGTTTTGGGCCCTATATTGTTTTTCTTCAAACGCTTCCCTTAGGTTCTATTTCGGAAAAAACGCTTATTATTATAGTATGATACACAAATTTATCTGCCCCTGAAGCACAAGAATACTTACCGGTTTCTAATAGAACTGCACCAACAGCACATATTTTCAAAGATTTTTAAGTAAGTAAGTACATGTAACGTGTAACAAGGACACCTTAAAATAAAGTGTTACCATCTTTTGTAACATTATAAATGTCTTTACTGGCACTTTTGATCAATTTAATGCAGCCTTGATGAATAAAAGCATTCATTTATTTAAAAAAGCCTCAGTCTTACTGTACGTGCAGTAGCATCAGACAGACAGGCGGTGATGAGATGATTGACAGGCGCCGCTGCATCAGGACCATCACACTGACACAGTGGACAGCAGCTCTAATGCTGCTGCGGTTTCATCATCATCATCATCACAGCAGGACGTCCTTCATCTGTCTCTTCCTCACAGGCTGTTCTCTCGTCTGAGTGTGTTTAGTCGCTGTTCAAACGAACTTGTTCAGCTGTGTGAGAAAGTAGCTGCGAATGAAGCTAACCAGACAGTGTCATGGTGTTCTGTGAAGTATAGCATGTAAATACCGCGGTAAATCATTCCGTACTGTAAAATGTGATGCAGATGGTCAGTTTATAGCAGGGATTCAGATGTTTTATTGAAGTCCTTCTAATATTTTGAGTTAATATTTTTATAAATTATTAGCACATTCACATGTTCATGGTTCTCTGACAATGGTTAATGCAAGTAAACAAAGAAAGTTTTCTGGGTCTTTGTGTTTCAGCTCTTCTCATGTTACTGTAGTCATTGTGTACTGTGCTGTCGTCAGATAAAAGCTGCTGTGTCGTGAAGCTGGTTTTTTCTCTCTGTTCTCAGGACAGCGGCTCTGAGACTATTTGTTTTAGTTTTTTTAGTTTTAGTTATTTTAGTACTTCAAGTTAAGTTTTTGTTTTATTTCAGTTAATGTTTTTTTATTTCAGGTATTTTTACGGTTTTAGTTATATAATATAGATTTTGTTAATATTTAGAATTAGATTTTATTTTTATATTTATGGTTTTTACTTGAAAATTAAAGTTTTTGCCAATTTGTTGAGTGTTTTTGTCATTTTAATAATTTTTATTTATTAGTTTTAGCTTATTAGTTTATTTAGTTTTAGTTATTTTAGTACATCGAATTAAACAAAATGAAAATGAGAAATGTTGCCTTGGCAACTAGCTGAAATAAAATAAGTTAAAAATATATTTTTTAATGTTTTATTTTATTTCAGTTAATGTTTCTTTTATTTCAAGTATTTTTTATTGGTTTTAGATATCAACTATTACAGTTTTTGTTAATGTTTTGAATTTATTTTAAAATTTTCTGTTTTCCCTTTAAATTTAGTTTTTTTCCCTTTAAATTTTTATTAATTTTGTTGCGCATTTTCATGAATTTGTTATTTATGAATGAGTTAAATGTTGTTATTTCAGTTGACTGTGTTATTCAGCGTAACAGAGCTGGTTTTAGTCTGAGTTCTGCTGCTCTCCTGCAGTTACGTGATGATGATGCCGTTCAAGCGGCAGGCTCTGGTGGAGTTCGAGGAGGTTCAGAGCGCTGACCGCTGCGTGGCGTGTGGCTCGCAGGAGCCCGTCTACATCGCAGGACAGCAGGCCTACTTCAACTACTCCACCAGCAAACGCATCACGCGGCCCACCAACGCCGACGACCCCAACAGCGGGAACAAAGTGCTGCTGCTGTCCATCCAGAACCCGCTCTACCCCATCACTACGGTAAACCCCGTCTCCTCACTCACATCAGCCTCCCGACGGGACGCTCTCAACAGCTTCTGCTGTTCCTCTTTAGGATGTTTTGTACACGGTCTGTAACCCGATCGGAAGCGTGCTGCGGATCGTGATCTTCAAGAGGAACGGGATCCAGGCCATGGTGGAATATCCTTCAGCTGCTCACGCTCGCATTCACTAATTCAAGTTCAAGTCAATTCAATTCAAGTTTATTTGTATAGCGCTTTTCACGATACAAATCGTTGCAAAGCAACTTTACAGCAAATTAAGTTTTTACAATATTTAGTGGTAGCTTATCAGTGGTGACTGTCAGTTAATGTACATATGGCAGAAATGTATGGAAAAATCAATTAAAGACGTAATAGGCGGCGGAGGGGGAGAGGTCGTCGCCCGGGGCCTGGCTTGCGTCTTTCGCTGCGGCTGCACCCAGGGTCCGTGGTGTCCCGGCGCCGGAGTGAAGGACATCTGGGAAGATCGCGTCCTGGGTGCACCGGGCCTGTGCAGAGGAACACACGGAGTAGAGGTGGTGGGAGAATTAGCAGCGTGCTGTATACTTACCTCGGACTTGTGAGCGTCAGCCTGGGATGATTCCAGCGCGGCTGTCTGCTCTCTCAGCTGGGTCTGCCTCTCCACCAGGTCGCGGATCTGCTTCTCCACGGCCTCCAGCTCGAGCTGCACCGAATGCAGCTCGAACGTGTCCTCACCTGCACTCAAAGGTAGACACACATCCGCCATTAAAGCAAGTAACAGTGAGTAAAACAATGGTAATATAACACTCTGAAACAGAGCGCCACGGTCTGGATCTGGAAGCACAAATTCTGTTCGTTTTCTCCATAGAGTGAGTGATTTTGAACAATAGCTTAACCATAAACAGTTAAAGACCAGTTATGATTTCTGCGGCTGTTAATCGATGGTTTAATAAACTGTCAGGCAATATTATTTCAACTTATTTTCTAAATAATCATGCTCAAGAGCAGAATTCCTGGTGAAAAACTACATTACCCATGATTCTGCAGCGAAATCTCCACCAATCAGAGAATTGAAACAAGCAAATCACACTAAAAAAAACTCTTTAGCTCCGCCCACTCCCATGAAGCACTGCAAATAACGTAACTAAGTAAATGCTCTCAAAATATTAAATATTTGCATGTATAATATATCATTTGCACATTTTCATATATATATATATATATATATATATATATATATATTTATATAAAATTGACATCTAATCAAAACTAATAGCTAATTTAAAGATACACTATTTAAATTTAATTTAAAGAAACAATATTTTATTTAAAGCGCATGCAAAAATTAAATGTATAATATTTAATATTATGAATATAATATTAAAATGTATAATATTATATTTATCAGTATTATAGTTTAGAATGTTATATGTATTAATATAGAATATAATATTTAATACATTAGAAATAAATAATTGAAAATTAATAAATATGAAAAAAGAACTTGAATCTGATAACAAAAAAATGCATTTGTAAAATAAAGAGATTTTTTGTTTCTGACAACAGAAACAAAAATATATGAATGGAAACAGAATTTGGTTGCATTAAAATACAGTATGTGAGCACAGAGATCAGGAGAGAGGCAAAAAATTGCAATTGCACGCACAAATGCATCAGTTAAGTCGTGAAATTACCAAACAGGCGATTAAAGCTGCCTTAAAACTGTGCATGTGAGTATTTGTTATATGAGTCAGATTTAAGAACATGTCTCTGAAATGGTTTTGAAAACTGTCCTGGAGCATCCTAGCACTGTCTCCCTCTCCTCAGCTCACTCTAGAGACTTTAAGAGCTGAAGTGAGTCAGAAAAGGTAAAGAGTTATGAGAAACTATGATGCGTGTCAGATCTGCATCACGTTCAGCAGCAGCAGCTCTTAAAGCAGCCAAAATAACCTGATAACCAGCTGCTGTGACGACTGTTCATCAAAGAACAAAAGAAAAAAGAGCAAATCAGTCACTTCTGTAGGTTTAAGGATTCATCTTTATTTAAATTAGAATTTAGTTCTTGATAACTTTATTAAATTTCTGTATATTTCCTACTTGCTGAAGGGCACAGGTAAATATGACATTTATTATAATGGGTTTATGTGAAGATTGTTTTAAGTTCACTTAAATTAGACATTGGGTTTGTTTGAATTAAGCTTGTGCTTTTGGATGTTCGTTCACTCCCCAGACACACATTACACACGCTCATTAAATATGCATGTATCCTGGCAACACACGGGAACGAGGCACTAACGGGACGAGCGTGTTCCACCGGGAGCTTCAGCAGTCCGTTTACATGCTGTTTACACTCATATCTGAACTCCCATCAGCCCCCAGGTGTCTGATGCTTATGTGTGTACTGTCAAACACAACATTCATTGTGTTGTTGTGTTGTAAGTGTGTGTTGCCGAGTTTTTTCCTTGACGGCCGTCACGTTTGAATCCATCCAGAACGCTCAGAAGGCCAAAGCCGCCCTCAATGGGGCTGACATCTACGCTGGCTGCTGCACGCTGAAAATCGAATACGCTCGGGTAAATGTGCAGCGTTCACACCCACACACACTCTCACACACACACACAGCGCTGGATCTAACACACATGCAGTGCCGTTGTGCTCTCTCATTCTAGCCCTCACGCCTCAACGTCATCAGAAACGACAACGACAGCTGGGACTACACCAAACCCTTCCTGCTGCGCCGAGGTAAGAGAGTGTGTGTGTGTGAGTGTGTATGTGTGTGTGTGTGTGTGTGTGTGTGTGTGCGTGTATGTGTGTGTGAGAGAGAGAGTGTGTGTGTGTGTGTGTGTGTGTGTGTGTGTGTG